ACTTGAAAAGGTCCATCTCCTCGTGGTAAAAGCTTAGATTTTCTTTGAGTAGGAAATCTTTCTTTTTTGGAAATGCACCCGAACCCAATCTCCTGGCTTGAAGATGGTAATCTTGCATCTTTTATTAATACAGGTGGCAACCTTGGAATTTTGCTTCTCAATTAGTTCTTTTACTTGCTTGTGTAGTTTATGAACAAACTCAATCTTGGCATTTGCATCAAAACTCACAAACTCTTTTGACGGCATAGGTAACAAGTCAATGGGGGTTAAAGGATTAAAGCCATAAACAATTTCAAAAGGTGTGTATTTAGGAGTGCTATGAACAACCCTATTATATGCCAATTCTATAAATGGCAAACAATCCTCCCAAGTCTTAAGTTGTTATCAATAATAGCCCTAAGCATTGTAGTCATGGTTCTGTTAACAATTGTAATTTGTCCATCGGTTTGAGGATGACAAGTAGTTGAATATACTAACTTAGTTCCTAACTTACCCCATAAAACACGCCAAAAGTGGCTTAAAAATTTTACATCACGATCACTAACGATGCTTTTAGGAATGCTATGCAATCATACGACTTCCTTAAAGAACAAGTCAACAATATGTTTTGCATCATCAGTTTTGTGACAAGGAATAAAATGAGCCATTTTACTAAATGGATCAACCACAACAAAGATGCTCTCATAACCTTTCCTAGTCCTAGGTAAACCTAAAACAAAATCCATTGATATATCTCATTTTAGGGGGTATAAACCATGTGGTTGAAGCCTAGACTTAGTTTGTTTACATGTTATGCAACGAGCACAACCTTTATTAACATCATGTCTCATTTTAGGCCAAACAAATTGTTCAGAGAGCATATCATAAGTTTTAGAAACTCCATGGTGTGCCATTAAACCACCTCCATGAGCTTCCCTCACAAGTAGCTGACGTAGAGAACAAGATGGTGTGCAAAGTTTGCCTTTTCGAAACAAAAATCCATATAACAATAAGTAATTATCCATAATGAGTCCTTTTTCACAAGATTCAACAAAAGGAGCAAAGAACATGTCATGTTGATATAACTCCTTTATGTGTTCAAAACCCAACAACTTAGCATTCAAAGTATTGAGGAGGACATACCTTCGTGATAAAGCATCTGCAACAATGTTCTCCTTACCTTGTTTATATTTGATAACATAAGGGAATGTTTCAATAAATTCCAACCACTCATCATGTCGTCTATTGAGTTTGTTTTGTGCTCTCAAATGCTTTAAACTTTCATGATCTGTATGAATAACGAACTCCTTAGGCTAAAGATAATGTTGCCATGTTTGCAATGCACGAACCAAAGCATAAAGCTCTTTGTTATAAGTTGGATACCTCAAAGATGCACCAGTCAACTTCTCACTAAAGAACATTAAAGGTCTTTGATTTTGCATTAATCCAGCACCTATCCATACTCCACTAGCATCACATTCAATTTCAAAAGTTGACTCAAAATTAGGTAATGTAAGTAACGCAGCAGAACTCAATTTTTCTTTCAAGTGTTAAAAGCAAGTTCTTGATCTTTTTCTCATATAAAGGATACATTTTTCTTAACAAGTTCATTCAAGGGTGAAGCAATTGTACTAAAATTCTTAATGAACCTACGGTAGAAACTTGCAAGACCATGAAAACTTCTTACTTCACTTACACATTTAGGTGTAGGCCAATCTTTTATAGCCTTCACCTTTTCCTCATTAACCTCAACACCATTAGATAAAACTACAAACCCAAGAAAGTTAACTTTTTCCATGTAAAAGCTACATTTCTTTAAATTTACATACAAACATTCGTTTCCTAAAATAGTCAAAATATTGCGTACATGAGTAATATGATCGTCTAAAGATTTAGAGTAAACAAGGATGTCATCAAAATAAACAACTACAAACTTACCTAAGTATTCTCGTAAGATATGGATCATTAGTCTCATGAATGTACTAGGTGCATTAGTTAATCCAAAAGGCATAACCAACCATTCATAAAGACCATACTTTGTTTCAAAAGCTGTTTTCCACTCGTCCCCAATATGTAATGCGAATTTGATGATAACCTGATTTTAAATCAATCTTAGTAAAAAGACTACATCCATGCAACTCATCAAGCATATCATATACTCTAGTTATTGGATGCCTATACTTTATAGTTATCTTGTTTATGGCCCTACAATTAACACACATACGCCAAGAACCATCTTTCTTAGGTACAAGAATAACTAGAACAAAATAAGGACTCAAACTTTCACATACATACCCTTTAGCAAAGAGTTCACTTACTTGCCTTTGTATCTCTTCGGCCTCCTTTGGATTAGTCCTATATGCTGATCAGTTTGGAATGGGCGCGCTAGGAATGAAGTCAATCTTGTGTTCAATCCCTCTAAGTGGTGGCAAACTACTAGGCATCTCCTCGGAAAATAAATCTGCAAACTCTTGCAAAAGCACAACAAAATTACTAGGCAAAGAAGGGTTAAGCTTGTTAGTAAAGGAACAAGACCCCTTGCACATAAGTACAAGAATAGTCTAGAGCAAAACATTCCTAGCCTCACTTGATCTAACATACAAACTTACTGATTTGATTTTTCTCTCTTTTTTTTTTCTCTAGGCTGAGTGCTACTCTCTTGCTTTTCACTCAAGCTCTTTTTCTCACTTGATTCTTTTTCCATCTCTGCTTTTGCATCAGCCTCTTGCCTTTTCTTTTCAAGTTTGCAATGATCAATAAATACATCTTTTGGAGACAATGGAACGTAGTTTTTCTACCATTGTGAGTAAAAGAGTATTGATTTGCATACCCATCATACATTACCCGACGATCAAATTGCCAAGGCCTCCCTAGTAGTAAATCTCCAACATGCATGGATACAACATCACATAAAACATCATCAACATATTTTCCAATAGTAAAAGAAACAAGAGCTTGTTGAGTTACTTGTACTTCCCCATAATCACTCAACCATTGAAGCTTGTAGGGTCTTGGATATGATTGTGTCTTTAAATTAAGTCTTTTGACCCGAATGGAACTCACGACATTGGTGCAACTACCGCTATCAATGACAACACTACAAGGTACAGATTGAACAAGACACCGAGTTTGAAATAAGTTCTCTCGTTGGTCTAGGCTGTCCTCTTTAATGTGGGTGTTTAGAGCTCGTCGAGTAACTATAGATATATGTGTAGGGTCCTCTTCACTAAACTCCTCACTCTCATCATTTTTTTCATTTATCGACATAAATGAAGAAAATGATGAGAGTGAGGAGTTTAGTGAAGAGGACCCTACACATATATCTATGTGCCTTTTCATCTGTAACAATTTCTCCCTCCTTGATGGTCATAATTTCTGCATTTGGGCAATCTCTACTATAGTCTCTTACCCCTTGACATCTCCAACACTTTAAATCCCTATTTCGAACATTAGACGTTTCTACTTTTTCTTTCCCTGTTCTAGAGCTCTCATATTTCTCAAATTTAGCTTGAGGCTTCTCATTAATCTCTTGATTTCTATGTTTATAATCATGTTGTTACCATCCTTTTTCCATGTTGAAGTAGAATTTCAAAAAGTTTTAGAAAAATACCGTGGAGACCTTTGTTGGATTTGCCTCTCGATCTTAATTGCAATGTGCAACAACTCCTCGATATCAGAATAAGGCTGTAAATTAGTATTGTCTACAATCTCTGTGTTTAACCCATTAAGAAACCGCGCCATGAGGGCCTCCATGTCCTCATCGAGATCAAGTCGATCCATCAATGTATCCATCTCCTTGTAATAATCCTCCACAGATTCGCGTCCTTGTCTCAATGCTTGAAGCTTTTGCGCCATGTCTCGTTGAAAATACTGTGGAACAAAACGTTTTCGCATGGACTCTTTGAACTCGTACCATGAATCAATTGGTGCTTCAAGATTTCTTCTCCTACTTGACATCAATTTATCCCACCAAATTTGAGCATATTGTTTGAATTGAGCAATGCATAACAGTGCCTTCTTTTCATCACTAAAATTATGACAGTTGAACACTTACTCCACCGTTTTCTCTCATTCAAGGTACTCCTCTAGATCGGTTTTGCCATAAAACTTGGGAAGTTTTAATTTGATGCTCCCTACGTTACGATCAGTTCTATCATCATAAGAACTCGTTTTTGTAAATTATGATACCTTCTTCTAGGGTCTCTCCCTCGCATCATGCCACGACCAGTCGCATGTGGATTATCCTCGTGTTGATCAGAATTGTCTCCCTCATCTTGATCGGTAGATTGCGCAGGTAGTGGAATCCTCTCTCGAGCATGATTTTGAATCTCCTATCTTCCCATTCGATCTGTCAACTCTTATATTCCTCGAATTAGTCTTTCCATGGTTCGTTGTTGTGCTTCTCTCAATCGTGCATCAATAATATTAGGATTGTCGTCTGGATTTTCCATGCTACAAAAGGAAGTTAAAATAATAATAATAATAATAATAAAATGACCTCACAAGCGCTCCCTCACATGTGTTCACTCGTGTTTAGCACTCAACACTCGAATCAATGTCCCTTACAAACTCACCCTCGCAATTGAGCACACACAGATTACACTCCAAAAAAAATTGGGATGTGAGACAAGCTATGTTATAGAATAAGTGCAATTCAAAGTGAATAGACAGCACACTCAACACATAAAACAAGGGTATTAAAGGAGTAATCCGAATAATGACAAAGAAATGAGTTAAAGAAAGAAAACGAATAAAGACTAATTTAGACGTAGTAACACATGAGAGTTACATATAATAATCAAGAGGAAAAAAAAAAAGACATTTAACATCAATAATTTTTTTATATTTTTTATATATATATATTTTTTTGTAATTGATGGGCAAAATCCAATCAAGTTACCAACAAGAAAATTGATTTAGAAGATCTTAGAACAAAGGGTTGATAAGATCCCGATCTAACATTTTGCAGCTCAGCCCAGGGGTCTTGAGGATTCTCTCTAGAGTATCTGCAAGAGAAAAAAGTGTGAGAAAGAAGGTTGAGAGAAAACTTGAGAGGGAAAAGTAAATCGCCGGAGTCCTCGTCGGAGAATCACCAACGAAATTCATCATCTACCAAGACTTACACTCTAGAGCTTCTTCTTGGAGAGAAGAAAGACTAGTGTTGTTGAGGTTCCATCTTTCGTCAAGATCCGAGAGAAATCCGCAAGGTAAGATCTCGAACGTTACTCTTCAGATCTGAGATCTTCGTTTAGGAATAGAGTGTTAAAGTTTACTATCTTCATTTAGGGAAGATTCACCACTAATTTTGTGAGGAAATTAGACGAAACGTTGAGATCTGAGAATCTTTCCAAGAACGGTAAGGATGTTATCAGACCTCTTTCCGACGCTCATAACTCGTCGTATGATTAAGCAAAAATCAAGAAAAAATATTGGCACATAGGTTGTAGTATGATCTAAAACTTTGTTGAAGAAGTCATTACGGTTTGGATTAAGAATCGAGAGATAGAAAAATGAGAAGAACGTCGAAAACTTCATTTTTCTGCTAGGAGGAGAGAGAAGGTGACGGCGCGCCACGTGTCAACCGGTAAGAGGTCTGTGTGCGCCAATAACCACCGGACACACGTCAAACGCCACCTGGGGAGACGCGACTCCAGCCTTCTACCGACACGTGCTCGTGGCCACGCCACCTAACCCGCGTTCTTTATTTGACTCGGTACCTGCGCGACGAAACGAACTGCGGTGACCCTCGGTCTACCCAAACCGAATCAACGACCCGTGGCTGCAGCAAAAGCGTATGTGCGTGACACTCGCGTGTGGATCCTGCGAGTGAACTTGTCCCGGTGCGTGGTTGGCGCGTGGAAGCGCGTGTAAGCCTGTTTTCATCCCGTTCGACTCTTGTTTTCCCTACTTTCCTCCCAAATCCAATCCTAACCCTATTTTATATGAAATAGGATCTAATTGAGGAAAAGTTAGTACTTTTGGACATGCTAATTTTGTGGAAATGCTAACGTAAGGGCACGCATCATCCAGGTAAGTCACCACACGGATCTCTAGGAAGAAATATTTGTAGGAGTTGTTTGGATATGCATGCATGATAGTTTAATTACCTTAGGTAATAGTTTTCCATGTTTGATTGTAGGTAATTTACTTATTAAGATTATGGATGTTTTATGAGAAGTATTATGAGAATCGTCTGAGTGTTGCAATTATGTTTTAACTTCCGCTCTATATGTATATGTTTATTTCATGCTTAAAGAAGGATGAAAACTTGTGAACTCTGCGCTCTGGGAGTTGATGGATGTTATCGTCCCGTTGAGTATGTATGTTTACTTTGCATGAAAGATGTATGATGATGTTGGATGATAGTTCTGTGCACACTTAGTTAATTTCCATGACCCACATTTATGATTAAGTCTAGAGATTTGTGGTTAGAGTAACAAGATACCAAGTATAGATCTAACCTTTCCCCTAGGAGCATAAGAAACTACCACGGTAAATGAACTACCTATAGAGTACCCTTAGGTTAACTGTATGTGATTTGTGTTAATGCTTCGTGGGAGACCAGGGGGTTCCTCATCTGGACTCGTCTGCTCTAAAGTCGTTTTAGCATGGGAAACGGGAGACCCATGTTAAAACGGACCATTTAGCTAGATAGGAATGGGGGAGGTAGCCCTCCCCGAACAATGGGGGATTACCATGGGACTAGGGGGTTGCAGCTCACTTCCTAGGTAAGACACCAGGTAGTCTCATAGCCATGCTGAGGTAGCTACTCGCAGAGCACCACTCAAACACAGGTTGGCGTAAGGGAACTCTTAAGGTTTAAATGAAAGAACGAAGTACCAAAGAAGCCTCAAGGAGCTAAGACATGAAATAGATGTTCTAGAGTCAAAGAAAAAGATTGTGGAAGTTTGTCAAAATTAGAATGCGATAAGAGCATACAAGTAGGTGGCTTACTGAGTATAATTTTATACTCATTCTTGCTATATCTTTCTTTTTCAGGTACATGAGGTATTCGGTCAAGAGAGGGCACGTTGAAAGATGTGGAATGTCACAGAGGAAGCGTGTTCTGGGGCGTCAGTTCGGTTTTACCGATTAGTACACTTGTCCTTCATGTTTTCTCTCTTTGTCTAAAACTAGTCACCCATGTTCTTTTTGTAGTGAAATGCTCTTCTTACTACGAAATAAATTATTGATTTTTTGAAATGATGTTTTCCTTTGAATTTCTTGCATACACACCACACGCGATGGTCTTAATGAGTCACAACTTGAGGTAAAATTTTTGAGTCGTGACAGGAAGTATGGAACGATTACCTTGATGATTAGGATCAAGAGTAATGAAAACTCGTTTCTAAACTCGTGTTCAAATCACTCCACAATAGGTTTGATCAATACCAGTTGAATGACTCTAGCATGTAAGTTCTAAACACAAGAATTTGCAAAAAAAAAAAAAAACTTAGCTCTCAACGAAGCTAAAATAGAAATTCTATTCTTAATTCCAGAACGTGATGTCTCTAATCAAAGAAACGAAGGCTTTATATAGCCTTTACAACCTGAACCTATGTGACACATAACTCCCAAATTAAATTGGCTAGTGAATGAAAATACCCATAATCTCCACATTAAAATAGCTAGTTAAGGGTGGAATATGGTAACCTATGTGAGTTACAATATAATCTTAACTCCTATATTAAAAACTAGCTTAAATATGACAAACAAATATTTAAATTATAATTAAATAGTGTAATGAATGAAATATGCTTATTAGTCATTCTTGGACTAGTTTCATAAATTCAGTGAGTTTATTAAATGCAACTTAAAGTGCATTTAATGCATCTATTTCTTGAAGCTCAACTTTGTACAACATATAAAAAAGGTCTTCAACGTCTTCTAGAATTTCCTTTGATGAGCTCACTATAGCTTGAATATAAGTGTACAATGTTTGTTGTAGTTTCTTGGCTCTCGTCCTTGTAATTGGACCTTGAGGTATGAAAATTTCTTGGTTGTGGTTCATATCATTTATGGTCATAATTAACCATGATGTAAATGTAATCTAAAGTAAGTAAAATATCTTAAAATACATTAATGAAATACAATAACTCTAAATTACTCTAAATTGTAATCCACCCAAAATTTATAACAATGAAACTTCATTCTTCTTCAATGTGGCATGAATTGAAATATCGTTTTGAAAATTTCAATAGCATTTTCTTCTTATCTTCATTGAAATATATTGTATGATTGATGTCTCTTGATTCATATTAGAGAGTCCCACTTACGAGAAAAGGTCACAATTAGAGTTAAACCAAGTAAGATTGCAAAGGCATAATGATAGTAGGGTCGGGATATCCCCGCCCTCTGAACTGAACGTGAAGGTCTCCCCTCATCGGCTCTCTACAGGGGAATCTCCACTCACTGTTTCCCTTAATATTCTCCCTTTACCACATCATGGGGGTTTATAGGAGATCCCAGAGCCTTGCCCAGAAAGGCTATTATACCATACCTTTTGACTCAACTCGACTCTAGTAGTCCGTCCGGCTGCTCTTGCTGAAATCATTACTCTGAATTCTCCCGTGCTCTAGCAATTGCGCTCCCTAGACCACCACCATGTAAAGTAGGGACAATCAATCCGTAGTGACGGGAATCTAGGAATGAATGGGGATCCCTGTGAATATCAAAATGAAGAATATTTAGAGTTTTCTCTCTTTCTCTCACTCAATAGATGTATCTGGTCTGATACGACTTAGTTAAGCAATACGAGACGATGGAATGCAATGGGATGGATGGTAGAGGGCTGCTTGTGCCCATGCGATGATCACTTTGTCCCCTTGTCCATAAGGACCTCGTGGCATACAATCGAAACATCTCCCACTAGATAGCTGCCCCTTTCTCTCTTTTTACAGCCTCGTGGACGAACGAAAGAAGGAAAGTTACAGAACGGGGCTGTGAAGGCTCTTGAAGTAGACAACAAAAAACAGCTTTTCAGCCCCTTAATCTTGTATTGTATATTATTCTAGCGCTAGGCTAGCGCGCCCCTTTCTCTAATAATCAGGTCAGCTTTGAAGCTGGCAGCTCTGTAATACTATACTAGTTGTAGGGCGGCGGTAGCTTTAAGAATTTAATATCAAGTAAAGGGGACTCTATCATAATCTTACGAATCTAAAGATCTCAAAATGGAAGAACGAGCTCTTTTGCTCGCCCCTCTCCCTATCTCTAAAGGGGCGTAAGCACTGAACTTGATAGGGGATGAGATTCATTCACTTGCATTACTGTTAACACTACAAAAAGCTCCGGTCTTAACACCCTGACTACTGCTGTGCAGCCTTTCCTCAGGTTTGTAGAGTCGGGTTTCCCATTTATTCACAACGGAGGAGCCGCCCCCACCAGGTAAGCGGCCACGGGTCATAACGCACTCTTCGCACAACAAATCCACTTTGATGTTGACTGATTTGCTTAGCCAATCATTGGAATGTGTACGAGATACCATAGGGGCCCAGTATCTTAATAGCACCTTTGTTTAAAGCTTCGAATGAGACTGAATATCCAAAATGCAGGAACGATCTGACGAGAAAGTCACTCAAAACTTGATCGAAGAACGAGCGTTTATTGAAGAAGCTATAGAGTCGATTACAAAAAGTACTAGTTTGAAAGGCTCGTTGGAATTAATCTGCTACGAGATTTACATTATACGCAAAAGAAGCACCTGAAGTATTAAACAGAATAGGTATTAGTTTGGTAATGGTTGGAGCAGCAAACTCGGAGTCAGCAAGAATCTCATTTTTTGGTAGTACGAAGGGGGAATTGGCCCAAAAATTGGATAGGGGTTAAGACGCAGTCGGGCATCGGCGGCTGACTCAAGTACCCCCCCGAACTGCACGAAATGGTCGCCTATTACACGGCTCACTAACTCTGCTTGGGGTGGGAGTACCTATTATTCATCGGCGGTCTAGTGCACCCCTACTTAAAGGATGCTGCTTAATTACGAAGGAAATTCTTTCTTCATCGTGAGAGTTCTCTTTCGTTAAGTGCATCAAGCCAGGAGTGGACATCATCATCATCTGCAGACAAATCTAGATCCTCTTTCATCATTAACTTAGATAAAGTAGAATAGTATGACAAGCTTTTCGGAAAATGAAACGAAACCCACTTGATTGTTAGATAAAACCTGAGTTTTCTCTTATTTAGATTCACACGATTACATTAATTATCTGTTTGACCATTTGACAAACACGTCGAATGGATTAACGAAATTTTAGACGGCAATTTTGTAGCCAATTGTGCATAACAAAGGCGGCACTGGCTGGGGAGACAATTCAACTGAAGGAGGAGCGAATGTTCGCTCAAATCAGTGAAAGAGGTGAGCAGCAAGAGCACCGGCGATGGGTCCTTGACACGGGGGCAACAAACCACCTGGACTGGCGGCGCGCCAACTCGAAGAAGGGACACCGAGCCATAGGGCTCAAAACGGAGTGCAAACGAAATAAGGTATACCACATATTTAGATTCACACGATTACATTAATTATCTGTTTGACCATTTGACAAACACGTCGAATGGATTAACGAAATTTTAGATGGCAATTTTGTAGCCAATTGTGCATAACAAAGGCGGCACTGGCTAGGGAGACAATTCAACTGAAGGAGGAGCGAATGTTCGCTCAAATC